TTGGAGCAGCAGCCTCCTAGGCGATGGGACAGAGCCCACAGTGTCCGGTATGCCATGATTTCTTCGTCAGACCCTGGGAACCCAATGTCGCAAAATAAACACGGCCGCGTTGCTAATCGCCAGTTCGGAGGAAACAAAACAGCGCTGCGCTGGGGGATCTGGGCAAAATCAGCCCTCCCTCCTCCCGCTCCTTCGCCGCGGCCCTCCCCTCCTCGCGCTGCTCTCGTTCGCTTGACTCAGCTCAGCTCAGCGCAGCGCAGCGCAGCTCCGCGGCCGCCAAGCCGAGCCTGGCACAGTCTCCGAGTCGCCGACGCCGGCTCCGAGCTCCCTCTCTCCGCCCCGGCTCCGCCAGGTCGCGCCTTCGTCGGGACCACTTCGGGCAGGAGTCGCGTGGCCAAGGCCGGCGGCCGCGGCACAAAGTTGGGGGCCGCGAGGATGAGGCTGTCCCCGGCGCCCCTGAAGCTGAGCCGGACGCCGGCACTGCTGGCCCTGGTGGTGCCCCTGGCCGCGGCGCTGGCCTTCTCCGACGAGACCCTGGACAAAGTGCCCAAGTCAGAGGGCTACTGCAGCCGTATCCTGCGCGCCCAGGGCACGCGTCGCGAGGGCTACACCGAGTTCAGCCTCCGTGTGGAGGGCGACCCCGACTTCTACAAGCCGGGAACCAGCTACCGCGGTAAGTGGCCGCCCGGTGTGGCGTTGGGAGCGCGGGACCCGGTCCCCGGAGGGCGCCGACCTCGCGGTGCCGGAGGAGGGCGCGCGGTCTCCGGGCGCGCGGCATGGGTGCAGCCCAGCAAGGGCCCTTCTGTCCTGGCTGCCCTCGGCCCTTGCAGCTGCGAGCTCGGCGCGGATCCTAAGCCAGCGTACTGGGCCGTCGCGGGGGCCGCAGCCAGGAGAGGCAACCCGCGTCTCCGACGCGCGGTTCCCAGGCGGAGCCTCGCGTCACGCCGGCCTGACTGCAAGGGAGGCTCGCTTCTCCCCCGGCCGTCTGCAGGAGGGAGGTAAACCCGCCTTTCTCCAAATCGGTCTGGAGGGGATCCAGGTTTCTCTTGGTCGGGTCCCGGGCAAGGCAGCGACCCCAGCTTTCCCCACTCTGGCCCTCAAGGAGAGGGTACCCGATTCTCAAAGACCGGCCCCGGGCGGGACGGCCACTCCGGCTTCCCTAGATAGAACTCTTCAGGAGAAGGGACTTTGGCTTCTCCCTAACCGGTCCTGGGGCGCGAGAAGGAGGGGCAGGGACAGCCTAAAGCTCCTCGAAAGGCTCCTTGGAAAGAACCCCAAATTATTCTTTCGTGGTCCCCAGACGAGATGGAGGATCTTGGGTTTCCAGAACAGGTTCCCAGTGGGGACAGGGTCCTCAAAGAGCTTTGGGTAAGCTCCGAACTGAAAGGGGAATTGGATGAAGATGGAAAGAGAAGCCCCGATGCCCAAGGCCTGCTCCCTGGAGGCCGGGAACCTTGGCTCCGGCAGCTCGGAGTCTCCGCGTCCCGGGGATATCGCGCCTACGCTGCTTGGCTGAGAGCTGGGTTTCGGGAGCTCAGGGAGGAAGTGTCCAAGCAGGTGAGCGCCTCCTGGGCGGGACAGGCAGCTCGACTAGCACCAACCTGAAGACGCCTGACTGTATCCCCAGGCCCGCCACCTCGCTCCTCAGCAGGGTCATCTCCCAGACATCATTTCCCCGTGCAGCAGTCGCCGCTCTCCGGGTCGGGGACAGGTAACCAGGAAGGGAAGGGAGCCTGTCTGGCCTCACCTTGGGTCCCGCCAGGGAGCGTGTCCCTTCACCCTCGCCCCTTCATACCTCAGCTCTGGTGCTAAGCAGGGAGGAGTGGGTCATTGGGGCACCTGGTGGGGCAAATGGGCTCCCAGCTGCTGTACTTTCCTCCCTGCCTTCCCAGTTCCCCAGAGAGCCTTGGACAGAAGCGGTGGGAGCAACACAGGATAAAGTTTGGGGCAGCGTCAGCGGGCGCCAGGGCCACGCTGGAGACCAAAGCCAGGGGCCACCCTTCTTGGAGCGCTTTTCCCTCTTTCCCGGGTTTGTGTCGCCGACTTTCTGCACCCTGAGCTACCCCAAGCCGGCTCCTTGGTGCCCTTGGCACCTTGGCGTGCTGAGCACTTTGCGAGGAATAATCTGACCCCGGCGCGCAGCTCCACAAAGAAAGATTTTGGGCGGAGAACACCCCTCCCAGCCCGGGAGGGAGTGCGCGGCTTGGCACCCTGGCTGGAGCGAGCTGCGCTGACGAGCGGCGACTGCCACTCGGTGGAGCCGGGAGGCGGCCGATCCTCCCTGTGGACCGCAGGGAAGCGAGTGTGACTTCACTGGCCTATTCAGCCCTCCCCAAAACTGAGGACCTGAGTTCACAGGGGAAACTGTCTCCGCTCCACGTAGCAGAGAAAGAAGTGGCTCTGGAGTCCAACAGACTTAGGTTTACTCACTGTGTGACCCTGTGCAAGTCATTTAATTTCTCTGCACCTATTTCCTAGCAAAAAAAAAAAAAAAAAAAAAGCCAAACAGACAAACGAAAAAAGCTGTTTATCCACCCTCTCTTGGTGGTAGGGAGTAAATGAGTTTACAAAGGTGAGTGTGCCTGAGCTAAAAGAGATGCCTAATAAGCGTAGGAGTTGAATGTGAGGCCTTTATTGGTTTACTAATGGAGGTAGGTTCTTGATCAGATTTTTGTTTTTGAAGAGCATGTGTGCGTTTGAAAGCAGGTTTCCTCAGCTCTCCTCCAGTCCCATTCATCTACCAGTGAATGGTGGTTATTTGGGTCCTCATGAATTAATTGAATTAATGAATGAGGTATTTCTTCATATCAGGAGCCTTGCCTAAGACTGTTGCTAATCCAAGCCCAGGAGGATTGTTTCAGTGGCTTAGGCTAGTCTGGGGTTCAGGCCAAGTGTACCCAGTGTCTCTTTTCACACTAATCCTCCGTGTTTTAGTTGAGCATTGGCAGCTGGTGGCCCTAACACTGGGAAGGAGGTACAGCTGGTATTCACGGGGCTAAAGAGGTTTTAGAACTACCTAAAAGTCCAGGGTCAGCAGGTGGGGAACTGGATAGGGAGTGTCCTGGACTTTCACCCTTCAGGCTACTCCTGCCTAAACAGCCGTCTGGACTTTGACACCCCAACTCAGGCTATAGTTTGAGCAATCATCTCTTCTCCCTTCTTATGGCTAAGAGACCTTGAAAGAGATCTTGCAGGAACCATGCTGATGTTTTCCAAGTAAATATTCTGCAATTAGCAAACCTGATTCCGCCACTCAAAGTTTGAAAGAAAAGTTGCTGGCCTAGTTTGTGACATTTTCTGCTGGCTCCTTCTTTCTTAGAATAATTATGTTAAAAGTAACTCGAACACATTCTGCTCATTGTCCTGACTTAAGGCTGTTAAGTTGGCATTCCCCTGGTGTTCTATTTGCTTTTTAATTTTTTCCTGAATTAGGATCCCTCACAATCCTTGGAATCAATGACTTGTTTTCCTGCCTCAAATCTTTGTCCACAGTATTCCAGTTCATCCCCAAGCAGCTTCTGTTCTTTGTGCCTGCTGTCTAAGTATAGTCTTTAGGTACTCTAGACCGGAATAAAATGGTCACTATTAAAAAAAGACGGAAACATGGGGTTTCTTCCCCAAAACCTGAATCCAGTTGAGATCATTATTTTGTCTTTTCCAAGTTGTTAGTATTATATTGATTTCCTTTTCTCTCCCACCACTTCTATTCTCCCTCCCTCTTCCCACAGTCCCCCATCCCTCCAACGGCAATAATTGTGCTTTAGAAAGCTCTGAAAGGCCTGCTCTGTTTCTGACCAGGGCCTCCTTTGAAAAGGAGATTACAGTGATTAAAAATAACAAGTTGAGGATCCTCAAGGGGCTTCCCTTATATAGGAGGACAATTTGCAGGACCGGCCTTTCCCAGATCACAATTTCAAGCCAAATAGAAGAAAATCCACTGAAATGTTCAATAATTGATTGAAAATAAAAGAGACTCTTGTCTTACCAGAGGTCTGTTTATTAGGAAAATAAAGTCAGACTCTGGCTAATGAGAGTGGCTTTTCCTAGATGTTTTTTAAAGGGACATTTCAAGGAACTTGATGGGAAAAGAATGTCCAGTAGAGGTTTCAAAAGCTGGTCCAACTTCAAGCATAATTGGGGGTTTTATCCTAAACTGAGAGGTTTGCAGACCTCCAAAGCTGCATGGCTTTTTCTTTGTCCCACACTGAGACACACATAGACCACAGGAGTAGACACCTCAGACTGGTGGAAAGTGCACAGGCTTTGATGTTGGGTGGGTTGGTTTCAGGTCCTGCTTGGTCACATATTCACTGAAGCCACTTCACCTCTCTGAGCCAATTTCTCCATCTGTAAAATGAGGGTGTTTTGATTTTTTCCCAGCATTCCTGTGAAAATTAGAAATAATTCACGTCAAAAGAAATTGTCACACAGTGGTTGCTAAAAAAATATGAGATGATTATTTTGGAAATAGAAAAATACTTAGCGGCAAAGCCCTGGATAAGATATTGTGTTAAGTTATTCCTACTCATCTCACTTATTCCTTATAGTACTTTGAGGAAGTTTCTGATCGTTACTATTTTATGGATAAAAAGACTAAATCTCAGAGAGGTTTAGTTCCTTACCCATGGTCACACAGCTAATAATCGGCAGAATCAGGATATGATCTCAGGTCTGTCTGACTCCTAAATCTGTGCTCTTAACCAGTCTTCTGTGTTGACTCAATGAAATTAGTTGGGAATAGAATGAAATTCACTCAGCTACCCTCAGTCTTCTGGATGGTGAGCCTTCCTTCAAGGAAAACAGAACAACAAATCAAGATAGTAACTGACATCTCTCAGGAGAATTACTTTATATTACTACAAAGTAATATAAAGTGATAAATCCTTATTCACATTTGCTCTTTTCTCTTATTGGCTTCAATGGTGTATTTCCCCATAAATTAGAGGATTAATTTAGAATCATGAAGAACCTTGTCAGTCTTTGGCCAATTCCTTTTGTTCGTGGGGAAACAAAAGGAAATTGGATAGGGGGGAAGCAAAAAAACCCAGAAAGAAAAGAAAAAAGAAAAAACAGATTTTACTGTTGTTTTATTTTTACATACAGATGTTATATGACCATGCCTGCAAAATTATATGTTTGGAAAGGACATATTTAGGATCTGAGAAATTTACACAGGATGAGGTCTTTTAAACTATTTCCTGTATGGTGGAGTTTTTAAAAATGTAAATGCTGCTGATGATATTATAATTAAGCCACCCCTCCTACTTCTCTTCCCTTTTTTGCACCATTCCCCGCTTTTTTATTATGTAACAATTTTTTAACCGTTACTACTTTTAATAAGTATTTAGTACAAACTGATAATAAAAATTAGAAAATGCAGCTATAGCTAATGCTTAATGGTTGTGGAGATTGTTTATTGCTCTGAGTTTTAGGAAATGAAAGAAATAAAAACATACCAAAAAGCATATCAAAATGGAATTTTTCAAGGTTTAAAACTTGAGTACTTCCCCAATCACAGGTAAGTTGTTTCATTACAGCTGACTCTTTCAATTGCATCAAGAAGCTATAATCACTGATACATTTACCACTATGGGCTGGTATATGAGGAGCTTTTCACTCTCACACTGTCCATTTGCTTGTTATACAGACTCACACATATATATAGGTCAATATCAATTTCTGTTGTGCGATGGGGGGACTCTTACCATGTTATATTAGTCATAGTACAGGCTAAGCTCATGTTACTAACAGAACCCAAAACACAGTGTTTTAAACAAGAGGTAAATGGGAGATCCAGCACGATGGGAGGCTTTGCTCCATAAGGCCATCCAGGAACCAGGCTCCTTCTACCTTGTTCCCCTGACATCTTCTTGCACTCTGTTATCTAGTTCATAGCTACTTAGCCATGTGTGGCTATGAAGTGCTTGAAATGTGGCTATTCTGAATTGAGATGTGCTGTAAGTATAAAATATGCAATGATTGTTGAAAAAAAAGAGTAAACGTCTCAATAATTTGTGTATTATTACATATTAAAATTATAATTGTATATATTAAGTAAAATACACTAGTTAAAACTAATTTTGCCTATTTTCACATATTTTAATGGATACCTGTTAACAAAATTAATTTCACCCAGCTTGAGCTTATTTCTACTAAACAGCACTGTTTTAAGTTGTTATTCTCCTCAGCACCATTACATCCGAGGAGAACCACTGCACATCTGTATTCAGTCAGCATGCAGGGGACTGGGGGGGGAGAGGAAGTAGAGGACAGCAGTTTTCTTTTAATAATGTGACCCAGGAACTGCACCCAGCACTGCTAAACACACTCTGTTGGCAAAAATTTAGTCATGTGGTCATACCTAGCTGCAAGGGAGGCTGGGAAATATAGCATTTAGCTGGGTAGCCATGAGCCCAGTTAAAACTTGAAGGAGGATTTATTTTTCTAAAAGATGAAACAGAAAATAAATTTGTGAGGACCATATTAACTGTCTCTGTCACATATTTTCATGCACAGTCATGTAAAAACACAATATGTCTTATTCTCTCAGTGAAACATCATCTAGGTGCATGAACTTGACAACATATAAACTGATGTTCCTGCTAAGAATCAGCAGAGGAAGCCAGATGCAGTGGCTCACACCTATAACCTCAACACTTTGGGAGGCTGAGACAGGTGGATTGCGTAACCCCAGGAGTTCAAGATCAGCCTGTACAATATGGCAAAACCCCATCTCTACAAAAAAATACAAAAATTAGCTGGCTGTGGTGTCTCATGCCTGTAGACCCAGCTACTCAGGAGGCTGAGGCAGGAGGATCTCTTGAGCTGGGGAAGTTGAGGCCGCAGTGAGTAAAGATTGTGCCACTGCACCCAGTCTGGGTGACAAAGTGAGACTCTGTCTCAAAAGAAAGAAGGGAAAAAGAGCAGAGGCAGGAGTTCTGGGGTGTGTATGTGCAAGCATGTGTTGTGGTCTCTTTTGTTTCATTCTCCTTTCTCAATAAAAGAGGAAGTAGCAAAGAACAAAAGGAATGAGGGTTAAGTAAATAAACCAAGAAAGCAAAGGGGTGGTGTGGGAAGAGAAAAAGAAAAATGAAAACCCACTGGGGTATACATTCAGAATGAAAATGAAAGAAAATGTTTGAGTATGGCAGAGTTCCATTAAGATGGGACTAGAGGGCTAGATTCAAGAAGAGCCATGGAAAGCAAAAATCACATAAGTCAAAATTAATCCTTTGAAATTACACATAAGATAAAACCCAGATAGCAGCTTCAACCTAGCCTTATCTAAACACCCTACCCCCAATATTCCTGTAAGAGGAATAGAAATGAATTGGCATGTATCAAAAAGTCTAGCACTTCTAGTTTCCCTCCAGCATTGGAAGAGAGCAATGTTTCCTCAGTAGAGTAGCAGATAAACCCTTGGTTTGCTCTGATATGCAAGTACAAAATTCTCATCATATGATGGAGTGAGGGAGCTGAGAGGCTCATCTCATGCTCACT